TCACCTCGGGCAAAATTGTGACTTAGGGGAGGGTCAGGTGGTCGTGAGGCGTAGGATGTTGTTCCAGAAAAAACTAGGAAGTTTTTAGAAATTCCCGCGCTTGCGAAAGATAACAAACGCCAGCAGCATATGAAACTAGCGAAACGATGTGTCGTTCACTTTTTCAACCTGATATAAAAGGATAAATAATAGTTTTGTTTTTCGAAGACAAAACTCGTAAAAAAAATTGTTTCATAGAAAAGGGGATGTCTCTCCTTTAGAATAAACACAGGAAATGTTGATACAGTGGAAGCTCTCGCGAGCGGACACCCTCGGGACGCGAAAAGGTGTCCGTAACTGGACACACAGTATAGGCATGGTTTTATTTACAGACTCTGAACTCAGAACCACCTTTTTTAAGCTCAGTATACAATATCATCAGAAGGTTCTACCAATACTTAATAATTGTTAAAACAATTATTGGACGACAATTATTGGACGAGGTTGAGCAAAATATGGTGATTTGTCAGTTGCGAGCAGATCATAATTGATCTGCGAGAAGACACTGACAAGTCACGATATTTTGCGATAACCGAGTTCAGTAATGAATATCTGCCATTTTGCCATTTTCACGCAAAAGCGATCGCAAGAAGGAGAAACGCGCGGTGCTATTTGCGTATGAGCAGAAGATTATTTGCAGTGAAACACAGTTGGACAACATTGCGCTTGAGCAGACCATTATTTGTAGGCAGGTATTGCAGGTCACGTGGTGGGCTCTCGGGCAATGAAAAACAAGAAGAACTTGCATCGAATGATAATAGCAGTTATTACAAATTTATAGCGTGTCCGATAGGAAGGGTGATAAGTAGGGAAGTAATCTCACTGCATAATCATTGACGTGATTTTTTGAGGCTGGCACAAAGCTTGTTCCTTTTAGCGAATTGTAGCGTGAACTTTTGAACATGCCCTTGACATGTGCAGTTGCAAAGCCTTAGAGGGTAACTCGAGCCAGGTATAACCAGTTATGACGTATAATCATTAACTTTTGCTTTTAGTGTAAGTTGATTGAGTTGTGCCCTGAAAAGGTGGCTAAGTTTTGTTGGTTTGAAAGTGATCATTGTCGTGGATTAGGATTGAATTTGAACATAAATCCGTATCGCTACACAATTTAAAGCTCTTTCCGTGCGCCAACCATGATCAGAATTGCCTGGCCAGACCAGAGAAGTCTTCGCAAATGTTATGCCCGGCAGTTATGGGTTTCCAGCGAAAACTCACGAAAAACTAGCTTATTAATTTCTTTTTTAACGATGACCGGTCCTCGCCCGTCCGGCTGAACAACTCTGATTTTGTTGAGCGCCCCGTGGTATTTTTCATTCGTAAGATGTTAGGAAAAGATGTTTTACCCACATTTAAAGAGCTTAGTACGGAGACACCATTTTCCCATTTTTTCTGTGCTAGCTCATTTTGTAACTCTGACTTTTGTTGAGCGCCTTATACCTTGAATCAAACTTAGCTCGTGACTCAAAATTGACTTGGGCTCGTAGCGTAATCTTTACTTCGTTCTCTCCGTATGGCTTGATTCAAATACAGCTAGTGACTCAAAATTGAATTTGGTTCAATGTACTACTGTTTTCATCTAGGAGAATCCCGCGTGCTTTACAAGTTCATTCCGCTTCCTTGCCTAGCATGATTGTGAAGCGTATCTTTTTAATGGTCTTTAGTTCCTTCATTCTCTTGCTTGACAAAAGACGGCCTAAAAATTAAGAATTGATCGATCAAAGTAGTTCAGTTCAGTTCAGCGAAAGTAAATTACAATGCAAGAATACATATAAGAATTGTAAGTTGGCAAGGGAGCCCAGAAGAAACCAGAAGGCTTATGAAGGCTGGGCTCCCCAAAACAACTGAGTCTAGAAGCTGTTGTAAAGCAGATCTGACTCTTCTTGCTTCTATCAGGCCGAGCAGATCGTGCCTCGATTCGCACTAGTTATTAGACAGCTTGTTTAGTTTTGTTAAGTTTTTTATCATTAAATAATGGGAGTTGCTTTATCCGTGGTCGAAGGCATCGTTCTTTACATGGTGGGGACATTCACCGCTGGTGTTATTCAGTCATGTCAAGGACAAGAACTACAACACAATGCATCGTTATTACCAGACCAAGATCCGCTGGAGGACTTTATAAAGTTTAATCGAAATGGCGAGATTTTTCAAGAATATGACCCACCTGCTGGGGACAACAGCAAAATGGGATGGAAAAGATCTCGCTCGCCAACATGGCGATTGTCGCTTTGGAAGGCCATGAAGTACGCATTTTGCATGTAGATTCTCGGCGGCGTTGTGTTGGGGTCACTCGCTATTTCAAGCTTAATTTCAATACTGATTTTACATTTGAGAGAACTTTAGACTTCTGCTTTAATGTGCAGAAAACTAACTGGACGGTGATTTTCAAGAGATATCAGAGAATGAAAGTGACGGTTTCTATAATAGAAACCTTCGTGATTCAACTGTGGTCGCTTCTTCTAATGTTGAAAATATTTGAAAGGAGTTTGATAAAAAAGTTCAATCTAATCCCACTGAATCTTCTGGGCGCGTCATTCGACGCTTGTTACAGGCTCTATTGTCAGATGTACGGCGTTTACAAAAAGTCTTGGATGTGTTACCCGCTCAACTGCCTCTTTGTTCTTTTGCTAGCGATGAACAGTTTATTCATTGGCAGAGAAATAGCAAAGAACAGGGAAAGAAGCAAAAGAATAAAGAAAACGATCAAGGTAATGGCCATGCTGGTAGCTCAGTTTGGTCTTTAAATCCCGATCACTTTTTGTCTTGCGTACGTCCTGATACCTCTGTATGGTAAAGCATCTCAAACCTACAGAGCGATCATAGCCGGGGCTTTGCCCCTATTAACTGCTATTCCAAAGGTCATTGTACGCTTGGCGGCATAAAGAATCGATTTCCTTCATGCAGGAGCTTCGCACGTGTTGTTAAACGTACTCTACAGCGCTTCCGCCATCGTTTTTCGCGTTATGCAAGCGAACCTGTGTTAAATCAAACTTTTTACTCTTCTCAGGTTCGCGCATGGTGTAATAGAGTTGCTGGAAAGGTTGACAATCGTTATTCGCGATTATGTTTGGTACTTTGTTTACAAGAAGCTCAAAAGAGTAAATAGGAAAACCATTTTGAAAACAAATCAATTTCACTTGCCAATGAGCATGCGCTTTGTGGTCGATATGAGCATTCAGATGATCCTGCGTGAATCAACATCATTGATAGCAGCGGTCGGTTTCATTCAGCTTTACAACTTCATGTACAACCACAATGATGCTTGATGGAAACGATTCTACTGAATTTTCCAGTGATACTGATGATACTCCCTGTGTGATTTCTCCCAATGCGAAGTTTATAATTTTGTCGCAATTGGTGCCGCGTGTGGATTCGTTGAGCGAGTACTGGAAGTGGACACTGTTCTGTTATATTTCTATTGGTTTGGTTTGTGTCCACAAATTTCGTGTTAAATGGTGTCCATAAACTTTGTTTTTTACATGTTTATGTCTGCTGTTCAGAGCGCTTTTCGTGGCGACCATATTGTTTGCGGCGGTAACCTCTGACTTAATTCAGGTCTGCATTACCTGGCGCTCATTATAAACGCGCGTGATGTACATGCAAACCTTGCAAAATTTCTTATACTTTGGTAATGAAGAAGCGGTTGGCGTTTTATTTAAGGTTTAGATAAAGTGTGGATATTAGTGAACAAATACTTTTCCTCTCCGAATGGGTAGTTTGTTGAAACGAAACCGGAAATGCTTAACACGTAAACGAGATTACGCAGGACCGTTGTCGGAGTATGGCTTGTAGTAAAATTTTTCCATGTCTTATTTTTAAAGAAAAGAAAATAACAAATTGGCGACCACTTGTTGCAATCTGGCGCACGTTGCATTTTATAATTTCCCGAAACCTTTTACAATTCACCACGTTTCATATAGCTTTGATTTTTTAAAAGATCCTATTTATTGAGTCTTCGTAATCTTGGAAAACGAAAACAGAACATTGTCCACTTGTCTTCAGTTCTTTTCCTTGCTCCCTTCAGGACAAAACACTTAGCCTATATTAAAATGTTAATTTGGACACTGTCAAATAAAAAAGAAAAACGGACTTTGCATTATATAATTTCCCTAAATTTTTTTACGGTTCACTACGTTTCAAATAGCTTTTATTTTTGAAAAGATCTCGGCTTATTGAGTCGCCTTAATCTTGGAGAACGAAAACAGTGCATTGTCCACTTGTCTTCAATTTTTTTCTTCGCCGCCTTGAGGAAAAAAACACTTAAAGGATACAGAGTTACAGAGATACAAATACCACAGTCATTTACATTATTTTCGTCTTTCCAAGAACTGATCGATATAAACAACTTGCTTTTCTTGGAGCTTCTGACAAATGACGACAATTTTCTTGGTTCTATAAACAGGTGAGATTTGAAGAACTTAAAATTCAGCCGAGAAGAAGCAGTAAGGCAGTGAGGAGTATTTGATTTTCACTAAGATAGTTGATAAACTAATGGGAGCTGCTTTCTCCCTCGAAGGCGTGTTCGCGTACATCTTGGAGACGTTCGCCGCTGGAGTGATTCAGTCTTACCAAGGACAAGGCCTTCTAGAGGACGCTCGATTACTGCAAGGCCGAGATCCCTTGGACGATTTCAGAAAGTTCGATCGAAATGATCAGATTTTTCAAGAGTACGATCCTCCCTCAGGGGACGACAGCAAAATGGGATGGAAGAAATCTCGCCCGCCAACATGGCGACTGTCGCTTTGGAAAGCCATGAAGCATGCGTTTTGTATTCAAATTCTTGGTGGCGTTGCGTTGGGATCGCTCGCTATTGTAATACTGGTCCTAGATTTCAATACCGTCGATCTTTGCTATGATATGCAGTCCAAAAACTGGACGGCGATACCTAAAAAAATTCAGGCGATCATGGTGACAGAACCGAAGCCTACTTGGTTCAACTGTGGCCGTTTCTCGTTGTATTGACAATGTTTGGTTGGCGTTTGATAAAGGAACTCAATCTACTGTTTCTTAATCTTTTGGGCGCTTTCCTCGACACTTGTTACAGGCTTTATTTACAAGTTTACGGCATTTACATCAAGCCCTGGAGGCAATTCCCTCTTAACGGCCTGTTTGTTTTCTTGTTCTTGATGAACGGTTTGATCATTGGCAAAGACATTGCTAAAGACATAACCGAAAGAAACAAAAAGATAAAGAAAGCGATCAAGGTATCGGCGATGCTGGTAGCGCAGTTTGCTTTTGGAATCCCGATCGCCTATGGTATCGTGTACGTCCTGATACCTCTGTATGGCGAAGTATCTGAAACCTACAGAGCGATCATAGCCGGGGCGTTACCTCTAGTTGCTGCTAAACCAAAGGTGATTGTACGCTTGGCGGCGCAAAGAATCGATTTCCTTCATCCAGGAGATTCTCACATATTATTAAACGTACTCCACAGCGCAACTGCCATCGTTTTTCGTGTTATGCAAGCAGAACTGACCAGCCTCCGACTTTTCATTCTACTCAGCTTCGCGCATGGTGCAATAGACTTGCTGGAAAGGTTGACTATCGTTATTCGCGATTATTTTTGGTACTTTGTTTACAAGAAGCTCAAAAGAGACAGTGGTGAAACCATTTTAAGAGCAAGTCAATTTCGCTCGCCAAGGAGCATGCGCTTTGTGGCCGATATGAGCATTCAGATGATCCTTTTCGAATAAACATCATTGATAGCAGCGGTCGGTTTCATTCAGCTTTACAGCTTCATGTACAACCGCAATGATGCTTCCTCGGCGTCTATCACCCAATTTTTCATTCGCGTCTCCATTGCTATTAGCATCGATTTCGTTTTTAACTCGTTCTCGTTTTGGCTGCAGATGTCCTATTTGAATATCGCAGTGGTGCGCGTCTGGCACAAGAAATGGCGGAAACATATGCTCGTTGCTTTTATTTTGACTGCAATGACACTGTGTTACTTTACATCTTACTTGTTTGCTGTTGTTAAGGCTAAAAGCACTTCAGGAGTAAGAATAGATGATATCAGTTGCAAGGGTCCTTTCTCAAAGTTTTAAAGGGGCTTTGTCACGGTCGTCTAGTTTCTTTTGTTATTGATGCCAGTTACGCTTCCTTTGTCGCTATTGAACTTGAGAAATTACCTGTGAATGACAGAATGACAGCTTCGTGTCAAGGAAAATGTCTCCCAAGCTTTACATCAAACGTTACAAAGAACAGAATGAACTTTGAAAAACGTTTTTATATATTTCTTTATTTCTTTATTTGGTTTTTACACACATTACATAAAACATAGAAAATTTTAATTTAATTTTTTAATTAATTTTATGTCCTCTTTGGTTACTGCTTTTTGTTTCTTTTGCGTTTAAGAATTTTCTAACTTTGAAAACCTGTTTTCAAAAACACCAATTGCAATCCGTTTCCATCTTCTTCGAGTTTGTCCATCCATGCCTCCTTTTTTATTTGCTGTGTTATTTATACCTTCGTGTAATGTTTGAGCGGTTATTTTTATGTTTCACTCATTTTGGTGGGGATTTCCACTGTTTGAATTTTGATAAATTTCGTGAGACAGCTCCTTAAAGTTTAATATTTCCAAGAGATTTTCAAATCAATTTCGTTCGTCAAGGAGCATGCGCTTTGTGGCCGATATGAGCATTCAGATGATCCTTGGCGAATCAACATCAGTGATAGCAGCGGGGGGTTTCATTCAGCTTTACAACTTCATGTACAACTGCAGTAATGATATTTTTTTTTTGGACTGTAATGACACTGTGTTAATTTACATGTCACTTGTTTGCTGTTGTTAAGGCCAAGAACACTTCAGGAGTTATAATAGATGATATCAGTTGTAGGGGGCCTTTCTCAAAGTTTTAAAGGGGCTGTATCATAAAAAAGAAAGAATAGGTGATATTAGACGCACGGTCATTAAAACTAGGATGTTTTAACAAATGACAACATCAACAACAACAGCAGCAGCAACCTTATTTCAGCAATTTAACTTAAGTAATTACCGGCATTGAACAGCAGATAGCAGCTGCTGATCTAGGCGCGATAGACGAACAACTTAGGGTTAACTGTTAATGAATATTATTACATAAACACAGAGTTAAGGAGAGAAAAATCAGTTGAAACTTGAAAGACTTACTTAATTGTTAAGCCAGTCCAACTTTTTGTATAATGATAGGTGTTTCTATATAGTCATATTTCCTCTACTGAAATATGTAGGAGAACTCGGCGAATTTGTGTTTTAAATACTTTCGTGGGTAGATTTCGCAAGGTACTCAGTATCTCATTCCGCAGTATTACGCCAAATCTGGAAAACGAACGCTTATGTATCTCTAACCCAAAGCTTTGTACATAAAAATGCCTGGAGGTGAATGATCGCGTGTTGTATGTATGAATACTAGAGTTTTTTAAAAAATATTTTCATAATATTTAAAGGAGCGTTAGTGACTGCGAATTATTGTAAACACCAGCATACGTAAGTAAGAAAATGTTGGCAGGATTTATCGTTCACTTTTTCTACTTAAATAAAGTGGTAAATGACTATTACTGTTTATTCACAAGGGGAAGTCGTATGAAAACTACACAGGAGAAATGTCCTGCTTTTAGATTAATCTCGGGAAATTTAGGGCGATAGGAATTTAAAACGTATTATTGGTATGGCCTTATTCACAGTCTTTAAATTTAGAACCACCTTGTATGTACAGCAATTGGTAGGAATGTGGTGCGTATGCTCAGCGGTATTACGCGCCAAGAGTGTGTGTGAAACATGGCATAGCCTGCGTGCAAGATCTCCAGGGAGCGCCGCCAGAGCTCCCTGGAGAGCTTGCTAGCAGGCTAAACATGGCAGAAATCGTTGTGTTTACTGTTCCCTCTACGTGTTAACACGGGCTGGTTTACACAGCATGGTAGAAGCTACAAAATAATGTTGCCTCTAAGCACTTGATTGCAATGGTGGTAGTTCGAGGGTTAAAGTTTTCGGCACTTTTACACGTCTACAGAATTACATTGCTTCCGAGTTTCCCTTTTCTTTTCCGACCTTGTCAACAGCTACGACCCGACAGTGCGACCAAAAAATCTTGCTCACTCTGATTCATTTGAAAGGCACACTTAGATTTTTATACTCGAAATTGATATAGAGGTGCATCGCATAAGTTTGAATCATTGTCAGAGTGTGTTAATTTAGTGACTTGAACCACCACCTACCCCTCCCCTAAAGTCAACATTAACACTTACTTCTCATCAGGTGGTAACGAGGCGTAGGATGTTGTTCCTGAAAAACTAGGAAGTTTTCAGAAATTCCAGGGCTTGCGAATGATAACAAACGCCAGCCGTATATGAAACTAGAAAAACCATGTGTCGTTCACTTTTTCTACTTGATATAAAAGGATAAATAATAGTTTTGTTTCTCTAAGACAAAACTCGTAAAAAAAATTGTTTCATAGAAAAGGGGATGACTCTCCTTTAGAATAAACACAGGAAATGTTGATACAGTGGAAGCTCTCGTGAGCGGACACCCTCGGGACGCGAAAAGATGTCCGTAACGGGACACACAGTATAGGCATGGCTTTATTTACGGACTCTGAATTCAGAACCGCCTTTTTAAGCACAGTACATAATATCATCAGAAGATTCTGCAAATACTTTAATTGTTAAAACTATTATTAGACGAGGTTGAGTAAAATATGGTGATTTGTCAGTGGCGAGCAGATCATAATTGATCTGCGGGAAAACACTGCGATAATCGGGTTCGATAATTGTTCCATTATTCGGTCAACGAAATATCTGCCATTTTGACGCCAAAGCGATCGCAAGAAGGAGAAAAGGCCGGTGCTATTTGCGTATGAGCAGAAGATTATTTGCAGCCAAACACAGTTGAACGACATTGCCCATGAGCAGACCATTATTTGTAGGCAGTTATCTGCAGGTCACGTGGTGGGCTCTCGGCCAATGAAAAGGAAGAAAAATTTGCATGAAATGGCGATTGTCGCTTTGGAAGGCCATAAAGTGCGCATTTTGCATATAGATTCTTGGCGGCGTTGCGTTGGGGTCACTCGCTATTTCAATACTGATTTTGAATTTGAGAACTTTAGAGTTCTTTTCTTTAATGTACAGAAAACTAACTGGACGGCGGTTTCCAAGAGATATCAGAGAATAATAGTGACAGTTTCTATAACAGAAACCTTCGTGATTCAGCTGTGGTTGCTTCTTCTTATGTTGACAATGTTTGAAAGTAGTTTGATAAAAAAGCTCAATCTAATCACACTGAATCTTCTGGGCGCATCATTCGACACTTGTTTCAGGCTCTATTGTCAGATGTACGGCGTTAACGTAAAGTCTTGGATGTCTTAACCGCTCAACTGCCTCTTCTTTTGCTGGCGAGTAACAGTTTACTCATTGGCAGAGAAATAGCAAAGAACAGCGAAAGAAGCAAAAGAATCAAGAAAGCGATCAAGGTAATGGCCATGCTGGTAGCTCAGTTTGCTTTTGGAATTCCAATCACTTTTGGTTTCGTTTACGTCCTGACACCTCTGTATGGTAAAGCATCTCAAACCTACAGAGCGATCATAGCCGGGGCTTTGCCCTTAGTAACTGCTATTCCAAAGGTAATTGTACGCTTGTCGGCGCAAAGAATCGATTTTTGTACATCCAGGAGCTTCGCACATGCTGTTAAACGTACTCCACAGCGCTTCCGCCATCGTTTTTTGCGTTATGCAAGCCGTAGCGGACCTGTGTGAAATCAAACTTTTTACTCTTCTCAGCTTCGCGCATGGTGCAATAGACTTGCTGGAAAGGTTATCCGCATTTATCTTTGGTACTTTGTTTACAAGAAGCTCAAAAGAGACGAGAGGGAAACCATTTTGAAAGCAAATCAATTTCGCTCGCTAAGGAGCATGCGCTTTGTGGCCGATATGAGCATTCAGATGATCCTGGGCGAATCAACATCATTGATAGCAGCGGTCGGTTTCATTCAGCTTTACAACTTCATGTACAACCGCAATGGTGCTTGATGCAAACGATTCTACTGAATTTTCCAGAGATACTGATGACAATCCCTGTGTGATTTCTCCCAATGCGAAGTTTATAATTTTGTCGCAATTCGTGCCGCGTGTGGATTCGTTGAGCGAGTACTGGAAGTGGACACCGTTCTGTTATATTTCTATCGGTTTGGTTTGTGTCAACAAATTTCGTGTTAAATGGTGTCCATAAACTTTGTTTTTTACATGTTTATGTCTTCTGTTCAGAGCGCTTTTCGTGGCGACCATATTGTTTGCGGCGGTAACTTCTGACTGAATTGAGGTCTGCATTACCTGGCGCTCATTATAAACGCGCGTGATGTACATGCAAACCTTACAAAGTTTCTTATACTTTGATAATGAAGAAGCGGTTGGGGTTTTATTTAAGGTTTAGATATAGTGTGGGTATAAGTGAACAAATACTTTTCCTCTCCGAATGGGTAGTTTGTTGAAACGAAACCGGAAATGCTTAACACGTAAACGAGATTGCGCGGGACCGTCGTTGGAGTATGACTTATAGTAAAATTTTTCTATGTCTTATTGTTAAAGAAAAGAAAATGACAATTTGGCGACCACTTGTTGCAATCTGGCGCTTGAAAATGGTCATTTACTCGTCAGATGACGCCTATATTAAAATGTTAAGTTTGGACTCTGTGAAATAAAAAAGGTGAACGAACCACTTTGCATTTTATAATTTCCCGAAACCTTTTACGGTTCACTACGTTTCAAATAGCTTTGATTTTTTAAAAGATCCTATTTATTGAGTCGTCTTAATCTTGGAAAACGAAAACAGAACATTGTCCACTTGTCTGCAGTTCTTTTCCTTGCTCCCTTCAGGAAAAAATACTTAGCCTATATTAAAATGTTAATTTGGACACTGTCAAATAAAAAAGAAAAACGGACTTTGCATTATAAAATTTCCCTAAATTTTTTTACGGTTCACTACGTTTCAAATAGCTTTTATTTTTGGAAAGATCTCAGCTTATTAAGTCGCCTTAGTCTTAGAGAACGAAAACAGTGCATTGTCCACTTGTCTTCAATTTTTTTCTTCACCGCCTTGAGGAAAAAAACACTTAAAGGACACAGATACCACAGTCATTTACATTATTTTCGTCTTTCCAAGAACTGATCGATATAAACAACTTGCTTTTCTTGGAGCTTCTGACAAATGACGACAATGTTCTTTGTTCTGTGAATAGAGCCAGGGAATATAATAGCTAGAAAACAAAGAAAACTTCACAGGTTTTGCACACGGGGGTAAACCCCAACAACCTTGTCTTAGAGCTTCTGACAAATAACGACAATGGTCTTGGTTCTATAAAGAGGTGAGATTTGAAGAACTTGAAATTCAGCCGAGAAGAAGCAGTAAGGCAGTGAGGAGTATTTGATTTTCACTAAGATAGTTGATAAACTAATGGGAGCTGCTTTCTCGCTCGAAGGCGTGTTCGCGTACATCTCGGAGACGTTCGCCGCTGGATTGATTCAGTCTTACCAAGGACAAGGCCTTCGAGAGGACGCTCCATTACTGCAACGCCAAAAGTCCTTGGACGATTTCAAAAAGTTTGATATAAATGATGAGATTTTTCAAGAGTACGATCCTCCTTCAGAAGACGACAGCAAAATGGGATGGAAGAGATCTCGCCCGCCAACATGGCGACTGTCGCTTTGGAAGCCATGAAGCATGTGTTTTGTATTCAAATTCTTGGTGGCGTTGCGTTGGGATCGCTCGCTATTGTAATACTGGTCCTAGATTTCAATACCGTTGATCTTTGCTATGATATGCAGTCCAAAAACTGGACGGCGATACCTAAAAGAATTCAGGCGGTCATCGTGACAGCTGATACAACCGAAGCCTACTTGGTTCAACTGTGGCCGTTTCTCGTTGTGTTGACAATGTTTGGTTGGCATTTGATCAAGGAACTCAATCTACTTTTTCTCAATCTTCTGGGCGCTTTCCTCGACACTTGTTACAAGCTTTATTTAGAAGTTTACGGCATTTACCACAAGCCCTGGAAGTCATTTCCTCTGAACGGCGGGTTTGTTCTCTTGTTGTTGATGTACAAATTGGTCATTGGCAAAGACATAGCTAAGAAAAGCGAAACCGAAAGAAACAAAAGGATCAAGAAAGTGATCAAGGTATCGGCGATGCCGATGCGGGAGGGTGGCTAAAGTGGCTAAAAAAAAAAAAGTTTTACAGAAAAGTTTTACGAGAGACGCTTTTAGAACTGCGCCTTTCGCACGCAAAAATAAATGCAGAAATGCGCTGAGAAACCATTCACAGACACCATCACTCGTAGACTCATATTTGTCGTATCGAGATCTTGCCATGCAATATCATATCCCTTTGCCAGAAAACAAACATTAAACTGTTCCTTTTGGTGATTACATTAGACCTAATCCCTTAATTCAGAAATTAAATCAAAACTGTTTTCCCGTTTTGTGAGAATTGTAGCTGAACTTATGACCATACCTTTGACAGGTGCAGTGGCAAAGATTTGGAGGGTAATTCGAGCTAGATATAGCCAGTTATGACGCGTAATAATTTACTTTTGCTTTTAATGGAGGTCAACTGAGTAGTGCTCTGATAAAGTGAATAAGTTTTCTCGGTTTGAGAGTGATCATTATCGTGGATAAGGATTGAATTTGGACATGAATCTGGATCGCAACACATTTTCAAGCTCTCCCAGTAGACAGTTAAGTCTTGTTTGGTTTTTATTTTAAGACGATTTTGAAAAACAAGAGGAAAGTATTAAAGATATAGACGACGAAAGATTTCTTTACGTCGATACTTTTAGCTTTAAGATACTAAACAATTATTGGATGAGGGTTTTGTGATATTCGCAATAATCAAGTTCGGGGTAAGTGTTATCAGCCGAGCCGAAGGATAGGACATCACAAAAACCCGAATCTAATAATTGATTTATTGTACATTGTTTTGAAGAAAATAACGACAAACACAGCGTCGCAAAGAACCTGAATTGATATTGTTATTGGAAATCATGCATTGCGCGCGCAACCTACAGATTAGTTAGTTATCTGCGAGCAGTAGGTTGCGCTGATTTCCAAAATTAGCTGTAGTCTCTTGGCCAATGAGAAGACAGATAGTGAGTATAAAGTATACTAATTTAAATTAGTGTGCTCAGTCAAGAGGTGTTTAGTAGTATTCCGGCAATCCGTGGAATGCTGGTTTTCAAATGTAAATCGAAACCATTCAATAGATAAGCGAGAAAACCTAAATATAATGGGGTAGTAACATTTTAAAATATCCCTCGCTAAGGCTCGAGTCTGCCAAGCAAGTGTATGTGAAATTTAGGGCGCTTTCGGAAAAGACAGCGCTGGCCGCGAGGGAGGAAGACGTGCGCACGCATCGGCGGTTATCTCGCCCATATATTTCTTATAAGCCTACAACATAAGCTACCAAGGCTGCTTATCATTAGTAGTCAGAACTGCCTGGTTAGACCAGATTATATAGAGAGAATCCCACTATTAAACAAGACTCAGTATCCAGCGAGATCACTCTATTCGCAAATATCAGTCATGCACGGCATTTATGGGTTTATGGCGAAAACTCACGGAGAACTATCCTATTTCTTTTTTCACCATACCAGGTCCTGGCCGGTGTGGCCGAGCCGTTCTGACTGTAATAAGCACCCTAAGACTCTCTGTGCATTTTTTCATTCCTGAGAAATTACGAAAGATGTTTTACCCATGTTTAAAGAGCTTAGTATGGAGACACCATTTCACCATTTTTTTTTTCTGTGCTAGCTCATTTTGTTACATGGTTTACTATAAGGAGGTCACAAAGAGAAACACAGATAAGATATTAAAATAACTTAAAGACTGACTTTAGCTCGTTGTACTAAGGTCATTCTTTCAGAAGATTCGCGCGTGTTTTACAGGCTCATTCCGGTTACCCGCCTGTTCGTGGCAAGTTCCAAGATCACAGCATATTTTTGGAGTGAGTCTTCCATTGATCTTAAGTTCGTTTTTTCCCATATGGCTTAAATCAAACTTAGCTTGTGACTCAAAATTGTAGTTGAAGTATTTCCGCCAGGCCATTTTTAGTGATAAGAATAAATTTCCCTATGCTTTGATAAACCTTATTCAAATAAGGGAGACAAAAAGGCCTCTGTTTGCATTTCTATAACTTCCCGGAATTTTTTAACGGTTCAGTACCCCAAAAGTTATAGGGTTATACCTTTTCTTCTATACGTTTGTATCGCGTTTCAAATAGATTGTATATTTTTAAAAGATCGAGATTACTTGATCGTGAGTTGCCTTATTCTTTGAAAACGATAAGTGTACATGTCCTTTTGTTTTAAATTCTTCTCTGTGCTGCCTTGGGGAGAAAAAAAAAACGCTTAAAAGGTCACAGATGCCAAAATTAAGCTCATATTTCGTCTTTCTAAGAACTAATCGATCATAACAACAACAGTCTGGTCATGGAGCCTCTGACAAATGGCGACTATATTCTTGGTTCTATATAAGCAGTGAGATTGGTAGAACCCAAAAGACAGTCGAGATGAGGCAGTAAAGCAGCCGGAAGTATTCGATCTTTGACTATTTAGTTATAAGCCAATGGCAGCTGCTCCTTTGTCGCTCGAAGGCTTGTTTGCGTACATCTCGGAGAGGTTCGCCGCTGGAGTGATTCAGTCCTACCAAGGGCAAGTACTTTTAGAGGACGCTCCATTACTGCAACGCAAAGATCCCTTGGAGGATTTCAAAAAGTTCAATCGAAATGATGAGATTTTTCAAGAGTACGATCCTCCCTCAGGGGACGACAGCAAAATGGGATGGAAGAGATCCCGCCCGCCAACATGGCGACTGTCGCTGTGGAAAGCCATGGAGCATGCGTTTTGTATTCAAATTCTTGGTGGTGTTGCGTTGGGATCGCTCGCTATTGTAATACTGGTCCTAGATATCAATACCGTCGATCTTTGCTATGATATGAAGTCCAAAAACTGGACGACGATTCCCAAAAGAATTCAGGCGGTCATGGTGACAGCTGATACAACCGAAGCCTTCTTCGTTGAACTGTGGACGTTTCTCGTTGTTTTGACAATGTTTGGTTGGCGTTTGATAAAGGAACTCAATCTACTATTTCTCAATCTTCTGGGCCCTTGTTTCGACACTTGTTACAGGCTTTATTTACAAGTTTACGGCATTTACGACAATCCCTGGAGGACAGTCCCTGCCAACGTCCTCTTTCTTCTCTTGTTGTTGATGAACAGTTTGATCATTGGCAGAGACATTGCTAAGAAAAGCGAAACTGAAAGGAACAAAAGAATCAAGAAAGCGATCAAGGTAGCGGCGATGCTGGTAGCTCAGTTTGCTTTTGGAATACCGATCACATATGGTTTCGTGTACGTCCTAATACCTCTGTATGGCGAAGTATCTGAAACCTACAGAGCGATTATAACCGGGGCATTGCCTCTAGTAACTGCAATACCAAAGGTGATTGTACGCTTGGCGGCGCAAAGAATCGATTTCCTTCATCCAGGAGATTCTCACATATTGTTAAACGTCCTCCACAGCGCAAGTGCCATCGTTTTTCGTGTTATGCAAGCGGAATTGACCAGCCTCCGACTTTTTATTCTCCTCAGCTTCGCGCATGGTGCAATAGACTTGGTGGAAAGGTTGACTATCGTTATTCGTGATTATGCTTGGTACTTTATTTATAAGAAGCTCAAAAGAGACAGTAAGGAAACAATTTTAAGAGCAAATCAATTTCGCTCGCCGAGGAGTATGCGCTTTGTGGCCGATATGAGCATTCAGATGATCCTTTTCGAATCAACATCGTTGATAGCAGCGGTCGGTTTCATTCAGCTTTACAAATTCATGTACAACCGCAGTGATGCTTCCTCGGCGTCTACCAACATGGTTTTTATAACCCAATTCTTCATTCGCGTCTCCATTGCTATTAGCATCGATTTCGTTTTTAACTCGTTCTCGATTTGGCTGCAGATGTCCTATTTAAATATCGCAGTGGTGCGCGTCTGGCGCAAGAAATGGCGGAAACATATGCTCGTTGCTTTTATTTTGACTGCCTTGACACTGTGTTACTTTATATCTGACTTGTTTGCTGTTGTTGAGGCCAAAAACACTTCAGGAGTTATAAAAGATGATATCAGTTGCAGGGGGCCTTTCTCAAAGTTTTAAAGGGGCTGTATCATAAAAATAAGAAAGAATAGGTAATATTAGACGCACGGTCATTAAAACTAGAATGTTTTAAAAAATGACAACAACAACTGCAACCTTTTTTCAACAATTTAACTTAAGTAATTACCGGCATTGAACAGCAGATAGCAGCTGCTAATCTAGGCGGGACAGAGGAACAAGTGAGGGTTATCTGTTAATGATTATTATTACATAAACACAAAGTTAAGGAAACAATAACTTTAGAACTTTGAGAGTAAAATCAGTGGAAACTTTAAAGACTTACTTAATTGCTAAGCCAGTCCAACTTTTTGAATAATGATAGGTGTTTCTATATAGTCATTTTCTTTTACCAAAATATCTAGGAGAAGTCGGTGAATTTTTCTTTTAAATACTTTCTCGGGTAGATTTCGCAAGCTACTCAGTATCTCATTCCACAGCATTACGCCAAATCTGGAAAAACTGAAGAACGCTTATGTATCTCTAACCCAAAGCTTTGTACTTAAAAATTCCTGAGGGTGGATGACCGCGTGTTGTATGTATGAATACTGGAGGTTTTAAAAAATGTTAACATAATATTTAAAGGAGCGTTAGGAACTGCAAATTATTATAGACTTTGAGATCCAACGACGTGACGGCAATGAGAGCGTCGCTTAAAAAGTGAGTTCGCGTTCTTGCAGTCTTTATCGCAATTATTCCTACCCACTTACTTTGTCCAATGTAGGCGAGCCCTCCGGGAGTTGAATTCCTAGGGACCATATTCAAGTACAGAAAGGGAAATTAAATTTCGTCGTCGCTTGTTTACATCCTTCATTTTCTCGTCGTAGTCGTGCAAAAACGGGCAAAGAAATGTACAAAAAAGCGTTATGTACGTGCAAAGTTGTTGTTTTACTTATAAAACCTATTGTTTATTTGACGTTCTCGTAGCCGTCCGCGTGTTCGGATCTGAAAATCCCTATTGTAAACACCAGCATACGTAACTAACAAAATTTTGGCAGGATTTATCGTTAACTTTTTCTACTTAAATAAAATGGTAAATGACTATTACTGTTTATTCACAAGGGAAAGTCGTATGAAAACTACACAAAAAATGTCCTGCTTTTAGATTAATTACGTAAACTTTAGGGCGATAGGAATCAAATCATATTATTGGTATGGCCTTATTCACAGTCTTTAGAACCACCTTGTATGTACAGCTATTGGTAGGACTGTGGTGCGTGTGCTCAGCGGTATTACGCGCCAAGAGTGTGTGTGAAACATGGCATAGCCTGCGTGCAAGATCTCCAGGGAGCGCCGCCAGAGCTCCCTGGAGAGCTTGCTAGCAGGCTAAACGTGGCAGAAATCGTTGTGTTTACTGTTCCCTCTGCGTGTCAACACAGGCTGGTTTACACAGCATGGTAGAAGCTACAAAAAAAAGGTTGCCTCTAAGCACTTGACTGCAATGGTGGCAGTTCGAGGGTTAAAGTTTTCGGTATTTTCACACGTCTACACGAGTTTTTCTTTTCTTTTCCGACCTTGTCAACAGCTACGACCCGACAGTGAGACCACAAAATCTTGCTCACTCCGATTCATTTGAAAGGCACACTTGAATTTTTCTACTCGAAATTGATATAGGGGTGCATCTCATAAGTTTGAATCTGTGTGAGAGAGTGTTAATTTAGTGACTTGAACCACTACCTACTCCTTCCCTAAGTCAACATTAACACTTACTTTTCACCTCGGGCAAAATTGTGACTTAGGGGAGGATCAGGTGGTAACGATTGAACCAGACAGTAGGGTAACGCGGCCCACACCGGAGATGCATATTCTAAAATGGGCCGCACAAGGCTACAATAAACCTGAATGAGATCAGCTGGGGGAGGCCTGATTTCATTAAGACACGCAAAACGTAGAGACGCTTGCCTGCTCTCTTCACAATATAGTCGCAGTGAATAGACCACGATAAATTGTGCGACAGGCGGACGCCGAGCACTTATAAGATGGTACCTGATCTATAATACAGCCCGACATCTGTAAGGGAGATAGGTCGGAGGGCTTATACTATAAGAAATCTATGCGTAACTCTTTACATTTGGATGGATATAGCTTCATACCATGACTACTAGCATAAGAACAAATATCCCTAGCTACAAAGGGCGGCATGCTGGTTGAACATCTAGGAATAATCTCTAAGACTGAGAGATCGTTCTCATACTTAACTCTAGTTTTCCAGTCCTTCACTAGGCTGTTGACGAGGATTGCAAACAACACGGGGGGCTAGTCTTGTTCCCTGAGAGATACCGCCCCTTGGAATAACGCTGTTGGAGAAAGTACTACCGATTTTGACTTGTTGCGACCTTCCCGTCAAGAAGGCCCCAATGCATCTAATTAAGGCCTCATGCACCCCCAAACCGCGAAGCTCAGATACCAAAACAGAATGATCCACCAGGTCAAATCCTTTGCTAAAGTCGGTAAACAAGATGCGAGCATAGCAATGGCTGTTGTCAAGCGCTTATACAGTGAAGCAAGTAAACGAGCGCTTGCGTAGTTGATCTGCCTGGGAGTGCAAACTGTTTTAGATCAATTTTATCGATGACTTGATTAAATAGGGGGGCTAACATGAAACCCTCAAATATTTTAAACCCTCAAATATTTATTTTGATAAAAAAGATCAATCTAATCACACTGAATCTTCTGGGCGCGTCATTCGACACTTGCTTCAGCCTCTATTGTCAGATGTACGGCGTTAACGTAAAGTCTTGGATGTCTTAACCGCTCAACTGCCTCTTCTTTTGCTGGCGAGTAACAGTTTACTCATTGGCAGAGAAATAGCAAAGAACAGCGAAAGAAGCAAAAGAATCAAGAAAGCGATCAAGGTAATGGCCATGCTGGTAGCTCAGTTTGCTTTGGGAATCCCGATCACTTTTGGTCTCGTGTACGTCCTGATACCTCTGTATGGTAAAGCATCTCAAACCTACAGAGCGATCATAGCCGGGACTTTGCTCCTAGCAACTGCTATTCTAAAGGTCGTTGTACGCTTGGAGGCACAAAGAATCGACTTTCTTCATCCAGGCGATTCGCACGTGCTGTTAAACGTACTATTCAGCGCGCCCTCCATCGTTTTTCGCGTTATGCAAGCGGACCTTTTCGAAATCAAACTTTTTACTCTCCTCAGCTTCGCGCATGGTGCAATAAACTTGCTGGAAAGGTTGACAATCCTTATTCGCGATTTTGTTTGGTACTTTATTTACAAGAAGCTCAAAACAGACGAGAGGGAAACCATTTTGAAAGCAAATCAATTTTGTTCGCCAAGGAGCATGCGCTTTGTCGCCGATATGAGCATTCAGATGATCCTTGGCGAATCAACGTCATTGATAGCAGCGGTCGGTTTCTTCCAGATTTACAAGTTTATATACAGCGGTCAAAAGGCGTTGTCCGTTATAACCGAATTTTTCGTTCGCGTCTCCATTGTTATTAGCATCGACTTTGCTTTTAATTCTTTAGCCTTTTGGCTGCAGATGTCCTAAATGAATGTTGCTGTAGATCGTGTTTGGAAGAGGAAATGGCGGAAACACATTACTATTCCTTTACTGTGACAGCCTTGACCATGCTTTACTTTGCTGGTCGCTTATTGCCCATTGTGAGCGCCAAAAGTTCTTCAAATAGCACAATGAGCAAGGTGAACTGTTCACAGCTCATCTTAGAGTCGTGACCTAAGAAAATTTATTTTGTCTCTCTTTTGTTATAAGTTTCAGCGCACCTCCATCGTAACCGTGCTAAGTCATAGAAAGAGTTGTTTTGTACAACGGCCATATAAACCTTGAGTAAGAAACAGATTACTTCAGTTAATTAGTGAATTTCCATCTCCCGGGGTGAGAGCTTACTCCTTTTTAAAAGCTTCACAGGTGTGTACTTCGCCATAGGGCATGGATTTTTAACCGTTAGTGTGGTCTTATATTTGGTCTAGATTTTACTGAACCATTTGTGTTTGCAATTGTGTGAGGCAGTTTTGTCGCCATTCGTACCGCGTGTGGATTCGCTGAGCGAGTACTTTAAGTGGACACCGTTTTGCTATACTGATTTCTATCGGTTTGGTTGGTGTCCACACATTTCGTGTTGAATGGTATCCATAAGCTTTGTTTTTGACATTTTTATGTCTTCTTGACATGTTTATGTCTTCTGTCCAGAGCGGTTTTCGTGACCGCCGTATTGTTTATGGCAGTTAGCTCTGTCTGCATTACTTTGGGTGCATTATAAATGGGCGTGATGTCCATGCAAACTTTGCAAAATTTCTTATACTTTGGTAAAGAGGAAGCGGTTTGTGGTTTACTTAAGGTTTAGATATAGTGTGTGTAAAAGTGAATAAAAACTTTTCCTCTCCGAATGGGTAGTTCGTTGAAGCAAAACCGAAGCTGCTTAACACGTAGACGAGAGTAGTATGGCTGTTAATAAAATTTTTCCATGTCTTTTTGTTAAAGAAAAGAAAATAACAAATTGGCGACCACTTGTTGCAATCTGGCGCTTGAAAATGTTCATTTACTCGTCATATGGCGCCTATATCAAAATGTTAATTTTGGACTCTGTCAAATAAAAAAGGTGAACGGAGCCCTTTGCATTTTATAATTTCCCGAAACTTTTTACGGTTCAGTACGTTTCAAATAGCTTTGTTTTTTTAAAAGATTCGATTTATTGAGTCGTCGTAATCTTGGAAAACGAAAGCAGAACATGTCTTCGACACTTGTCTTCAATTCTTTTCCTTGCTCCCTTCAGGAAAAAACACTTAGCCTATATTAAAATGTTAATTTCGACACTGTCACAAAAAAAAAAAAGAAAAACGGACTTTGCATTTATAATTTCCCTAAATTTTTTAAGGTTCACAACGTTTCAAATAGCTTTTATTTTTGAAAAGATCTCGACTTATTGAGTCGCCTTACTCTTGGAGCACGAAAACAGTGCATTGTCCACTTGTCTTCAATTTTTTTCTTCGCCGCCTTGAGGAAAAAAACACTTAAAGGACAGAGATACCACAGTCATTTACATTATTTTCGTCTTTCCAAGAACTAATCGATATAAACAACTTCCTTTTCTTGGAGCTTCTGACAAATGACGACAATATTCTTTGTTCCATGAATAGAGCCAGGGAATATAATAGCTAGAAAACAAAGAAAAACTTCACAGGTTTTGCACACGGGGGTAAACCCCAACAACCTTGTCTTAGAGCTTCTGACAAATAACGACAATGTTCTTGGTTCTATAAAGAGGTGAGATTTGAAGAACTTAAAATTCAGCCGAGAAGAAGCAGTAAGGCCGTGAGGAGTATTTGATTTTCACTAAGATAGTTGATAAACTAATGGGAGCTGCTCCTTTCTCGCTCGAAGGCGTGTTCGCGTACATCTCGGAGACGTTCGCCGCTGGAGTGATCCAGTCTTACCAAGGACAAGTACTTCTAGAGGAAGTTCCATTAGTGCGACGCCAAGATCCCTTGGAGGATTTCAAAAAGTTCAATCGAAATGATGAGTTTTTTCAAGAGTACGATCCTCCTTCAGGGGACGACAGCAAAATGGGATGGAAGAGATCTCGCCCGCCAACATGGCGACTGTCGCTTTGGAAAGCCATGAAGCATGCGTTCTGTATTCAAATTCTTGGCGGCGTTGCGTTGGGATCGCTTGCTACTGTAATACTGGTCCTAGATTTCAATACCGTCGCTCTCTGCTATGATATACAGTCCAAAAACTGGACGGCGATACCTAAAAGAATTCAGGCGGTCATGGTGACAGCTGATACAACCGAAGCCTACTTGGTTCAACTGTGGTCGTTTCTCGTTGTGTTGACCATGTTTGGTTGGCGTTTGATAAAGGAACTCAATCTACTGTTTCTCAATCTTCTGGGAGCTTTCCTCGACACTTGTTACAGGCTTTATTTACAAGTTTACGGTATTTACCACAAGCCCTGGAGGTCATTCCCTCTTAACGGCCTGTTTGTTCTCTTGTTGTTGATGAACAGTTTGATCATTGGCAAACACATAGCTAAGAAAAGCGAAACCGAAAGAAACAAAAGAATAAAGAAAGCGATCAAGGTATCGGCGATGCTGGTAGCTCAGTTTGCTTTTGGAATACCGATCGCATATTGTCTCGTGTACGTCCTGATACCCTTGTATGGCGAAGTATCTGAAACCTACAGAGCGATTATAGCCGGGGCATTGCCTCTAGTTACTGCTATACCCAAGGTCATTGTACGCTTGGCGGCGCAAAGAATCGATTTCCTTCATCCAGGAGATTCGCACGTATTGTTAAACGTACTCCACAGCACAACTGCCATAGTTTTTCGCGTTATGCAAGCGGAACTGACCAGCCTCCGACTTTTCATTCTCCTCAGCTTCGCGCATGGTGCAATAGACTTGCTGGAAAGGTTGACTATCGTTATTCGCGATTATTTTTGGTACTTTGTTTACAAGAAGCTCAAAAGAGACAGTGGTGAAACCATTTTAAGAGCAAATCAATTTCGCTCGCCGAGGAGTATGCGCTTTGTGGCCGATATGAGCATTCAGATGATCCTCTGCGAATCAACGTCATTGATAGCAGCGGTCGGTTTCATTCAGCTTTACAACTTCATGTACAACCGCAATGATGCTTCCTCGAAGTCTATCACCCAATTTTTCATTCGCGTCTCCATTGCTATAAGCATCGATTTCTTTTTTAACTCGTTCTCGTTTTGGCTGCAGATGTCCTATTTGAATATCGCAGTGGTGCGCGTCTGGCGCAAGAAATGGCGGAAACATATACTCGTTGCTTCTATTTTGACTGCAATGACACTGTGTTACTTTACATCTCACTTGTTTGCTGTTGTTAAGGCTAAAAGCACTTCAGGGTTAATAATAGCTAATATCAGTTGCCTGGGTCCTTTCTCAAAGTTTTAAAGAGGCCTTGTCACGGTCGTCTAGTTTCTTTTGTTATTGATGCCAGTTACGCTTCCTTTGTCGCTATTGAACTTGTGAAATTACCTGTGAATGACAGAATGACGAAAATGTCTCCCAAGCTTTATATCAAACGTTACAAACAACAGAATGAACTTTGTAAAACGTCTTTATATATTTATTTATTTATTTATTTGGTTTTTACACACATTACATAAAACAGAGAAAAATTTAATTTAATTTATTTATTAATTTTATGTCCTCTTTGGTTACTGCTTTTTGTTTCTTTTGCATTTAAGAATTTTCTCACTTTGAAAACCTGTTTTCAAAAACACCAATTGCAATCCGTTTCCATCTTCTTCAAGTTTGTCCATCCATGCTTCCTTTTTTATTTGCTGTGTTATTTATACCTTCGTTTAATGTTTTGAGCGATTGTTTTTGTTTCACTCATTTTGGTGGGGATTTCCACTGTTTGAATTTTGATAAATTTCGTGAGACAGCTCCTTAAAGTTCAATATTTCCAAGAGATTTTCAAATCAATTTCGCTGGCCAAGGAGCATGCGCTTTGTGGCCGATGTGTGCATTTAGATGAATCAACGTCATTGATAGTAGCGATCGGTTTCATTCTGCTTTTCAACTTCATGTACAACCGTAGTGATGCTTCCCCGGCGTCTAGTGGTTTTTGTTACCCAATTTTCCATTCGCGTCTCCATCGCTATTAGCGTCGATTTCGTTTTTAACTCGTTCTCGTTTTGGCTGCAGATGTCCTATTTAAATATCGCAGTGGTGCGCGTCTAGAGGAAGAAATGGCGGAAACATATGCTCATTGCTTTCATTTTGACAGCAGTGACTCTGTGTTACTTTACCACTCACTTATTTGCTGTTGTGAAAGACAAAAACACTTCAGGAGTTATAGCAAAGGGCTTTTCTCAAAGTTTTAAGTGTTGTTTGTAGGATTTTTCATGCTACACCCAGACAGTGTGACAGAGTAATGCTGCTCAATCTCATTTTGAAAGGTCACAATTGGATTTAATGCTCGAAATTGATGTAGGGTTGCATCGATTAAGTTTGAGTCAGTGTGAGAGAGTGTTTATTTAGTTGAATATTTACCATAAAGAAAAAAGAGAACGCATTAGGCGCAGGATGTTACTCGAGGGAAAACTTAATAGTTTTCCGAAATTGGGGGGGCTTGCGAATGATCATGTAACTAAAAAACGCCGGATGGCATAATGGGTCGTTCACTTTCTCTACTTGATATGAAAGGCTAAATAATAATTTTTTTGTTTTTTCTAGGGCAAAAAACGTAAAAAAAAACCATCTTTTTATAGAAGATGGGATCTCTTTTAGATTAAACACAGGAAATGTTGATCTTTTCTTTGTTGTTGTTTTTGTCATTTCAGTGCCAAATATGGCGATGGGAAACGAAACGCCGTATGTATAGGCATGACTTTATTCAGAGGCTTTGAATTCAGAACCACCTTTTTCTACTTACTAGACAATATCATGAGAAGGTTCTGCCAATACTAGCAGTCATAATAAGTTTGAAGTGCGTCCGACGGGAAAGGAGATTATAGGGAGCTTTAGCATCGACGACGGCAACGGCAGCGAAAACGTCAGTTTTGAAATGAATTCCCGTTTTTTCAATCTTTGTCGCATTTATTCCAATTTGCTGAAAATGGCAAGTGTAGGCGAATTTCCCTGGAGTTGATTTCTTGAGGACCGCACTCAAGTTTAGAGAGAGAAAAAGAGATTCGTCGTCGCTTGTTTACGTCCTCCATAAAACTTGCAATTGGGTATTTTCACGTCGTAGTCGTGGAAGGACGGTAAAGAAGTGTACAAAAAAGCGTGATGCACGTGCAAAGTTGTTGTTTTGCGTAATAAACCTATTGCTTTTTTGACGTCCTGGTTGCCGTCGCCGTAGTCGTTGCTAAAGCTCCCTTATATCAGAGAGGTGAACTCAATGCAAAATTTCACTGCATAATCATCGACGTGATTTTGAGTGGCCGGCACAAAGGAGATACCAGTTTCTCGCTGTTAGAAAGCCCCTGAGAAGCGAATTGTGCGGCGAAGGGGGGGGGGGG